GATTAAAATCAAAATGACAGTAAGCAGCGACGCCGACGTCGAAGTCAACGTTAACTCAGCGAAATGAAGAACGAAAGAAAAATACGGCATAGACACACTCACATACACACACAAACACATACACACGCACATACATACATACATATATAATGCAAATTCAGATGGTATCAAAAGTTGAAGTTGAAATGTTCAGAGATGAACGGCCGGCCACTGGCAGCTCCAGAGAGGGGAACGACCGGACCGGTCCGGACCGGACACGAAACAGACAAGCGCCAGGACAAATGGCGCAAGCTAGGAAGCGCTGGTGGGTGAGGGGCAGAGGACGACTCAAATGAGACTATGCAGCATTCATCAAAAGCCACGATGCGCTCTGCACAGCACGAAATGTGCGTAGGTCGGAAAGATCCAATTCCTTGCTAGTATTTCCTTCCATAGACAAATTTTGAAAATTGAATTTGGATGCAAATTTAAATCTTAATCGTAAGAGATGTTTTCTTTCGCACAAAAAAGTATTTAATACATACCTATTTATTTATTTATGTCAACAAACATTGACTGTCGACATAGGAAATGTATAAAAATTATAAAAAGCATCTTATAAGCTAGAAAAGCCTTAGAAGCAGAAATCTAAACAAATTACAATAATATCTAATTAACGCCATATACAAAAAAAGAAAAACTTAACAGAGAGAAGAAGCTTAAAATTACTTAAAAGCTAATTTTAAAAGGAAAAAAGAAAGAAAGACAATATTCATGTTCATTTATTTAAATTTATTTTTCTTTATTTACATTTATTTATTTATGCTTGCAGCATCCGAGTCCCGTTGACTTCGTTGAGCGATTTATTTATTATTTTAATTAAACTTAAATAATTGTACACTTTTGGAAATTAAATTTATTTCATATATCAGGTAATAATGCTGAACAGATCGAAAATGAGGATTGACTGAACAAAGAGGTGAGAACATTTGACGGAATTACTAGTATACTATATTAAAATAATCCACAACTCCATCATTATTTTAATTCCATGAACTAATGAGCACTCTTATACTTGTAATTTCGCCCGGTGTAGCCAATGCGGAACGATAACAAAGCCTAAAGCACACGGTGGCTAACAAAATTAAGTCGGACATTTAGTTTGGATGGAGGAGGATGTCGAGTCAAAAGTCCGAGCATTTGGAGCAGCTTAAATTGTTTTTCCATTGTTGCTATTTTTGTTCGTCTGGCTCCGCAGCTTCTCCGGCTCCGCGACATGCGAGCACATATACATACTACATACATATATGTACATATGTATACTAAAAGTATATATACTTTTGATTATGCCTGCCTTTGTTGCGTACAACACAACACTACAAGTATGGTTGAGCTTGGGCACAGGTCGGCGGAACACGTCCATTCCCATTTGCATACCAGGGGCGAAGCATCCGCATTTTTTCATCTTTGACCAATTCCTTCAATATTTCTCAACAGACAACTTACAAAGGGGAATACTTGAGACTCTGACTCTGAGATATCAAAGCAAATGCCTTAAACTCGAAAATGTAGTAAATGTTTTTCATTTTTTCCTGGCACTTGGTCTGCATCATAACCATTCAAGGCATGCTTCCTAATGTCCTTTTGTCTGTTGCGGGTCTGTCAACTCTTTCCCAGACTTCTCTTTCCTCTCACACATAATGTGCGTTATAAAATTCAATGTTTTCTGCTATCGAACCTGTTACTACTGTTTCTGTTGTTGTTGTTGTTATCTCGCCTGTTACCTTCGAAGGTCGTAGAAATGTTCGTACTCGGGCTGGCGCTTGATTTTATGATGCTCATTAAGCGCAGGTACAATTCCTACATATATGCTGCCTATATGTGCGATAAATTTCATTCACATTTTCAATGCATTTACAAGTATATATGAATATACTATATACCATAAATACAGACATACTATGTATTTATGTATTTGTTTATTTATTCTTTTGTAATTTCGTTCGGGTGGGTAACAAATTTTACATTTACGCTCTCATTTTAATTTCCCATTTATTGGCGGCAAACAGTTCAAAGCAAATGGCAAATTGCCGGCATGCCGTTTCATTTTTGTTTAATGAATTTTTATTTGAGCCGTTGCTGCCGCCGCCTCGCCCCCGCACCGCTCCTTTAGGGGTCATAAAAAGGGTTCACAGACGATTTGCTCGAATTAATTGCGCTGCCATTAACGCGATGCGACAGGCGGAGGCAGGAATGGCGACATCCCCACCTTCTCCCTCTCTCTCTCTCTCTCTCTTTCGGCCAACTCCTACTCTTAGGGACTTCCCCCGTCTGCTGCTTTGTTGCGCGCGCTTCCACTGAAATTATTTGCGTGTAATTTGTTTTAGCTTTTGTTTGTGTGGCTGCGGAAAAGGGAATTAATTTTTTTTCTTTTTTTTTTTTTTTTTTTGTAGCGCAGCTCGAATGCAATATTTGTTTATTTGACTTTATTTTGCATGGTTTTCACTTTGACTTTGGGGCAGCCTCAACAACAGACAAAGCGACAACAACAAAGAGTTAACAGAATATAAAGAGGGAAGGTAAAAAAAAACACGGAAAATGCGAATTGAATTAGGGAACACAAACGTGTAGCTTGTAACGTCAGCAACAGGTTCGAGTTAATTGAATTCTTTTTGGTTGGTTTTGCTTTCAAGAGACTTTGGTGCAAAAGTTGGGAGCTAACACCGAAAGTGGAGGATACTCAGCTAATTTGTTCAGTTAATGAAATGATTTCTTTACCTTCGTAGAACAAATATAAGTATATACATAATATAAAAAATGTATATCATTCCATTCATCGCCCATTGTACAAATTGTCTCCACGAAAACAAAACTTATTTTTAAATGAGCAAACAAGTTTCATTTTTTTTCGCTGCTGATTAAATTGTTCGTCCAATATATCTTCATTAAAACCATTCAGCGTTGATCAGATATGAGTGGATTGTCTTAATCTTCGATAAATACAAATTTTTATTAAACTATGAAACACGAAACTCTCGGCAACTAATGAGCTGATGCGTTAGGTTAAGCGGTTTGATCGACTGTTAAGAATCTTTAAGGCTGAAAAATAACTGAATTATGTTTGAGGATGCCCCTTGAATAAATTTTATCTTCGCATATCTGAGCAGAATCTGAGCATTTCGATGAATAATAATGGTGAATAATACTGTTTCAAAACGATTCTTCCAAACACATATGGTATGTAAGTTAATCAACAAATTAAGTTAAACATCAATTCATGAGTTCGATAAAAGCGCATAAGCTGCTGCATTTTCAAACAAACACAGCTATTAAGCATTTTACAAGTAGTTTCATTTCAAGTAACAGCCTCCTGGGAACTCCACACACACACACACACACACACACGCACAACATTTAATGATGATCATTAAAATTAGGCTTACACCCTACTGAAGGCGGAGGCGGACTTCAGCGTCTCAACACCTATCTAGTCGAATACGTTTATTTCCCAGTTCAGCACTGGATCCCACAATTATCCACTACATCATATTCTAATTCTCGCCCCATCCCCCCAAGAAAAAACATTAAAAATGGGCAGACACAGCATGCGAGTTCAGTAAACTATCGAGGCATGATTTTGATTTCTTAATTTCTTATCGCAACGATTACCTAACATTCGAGCCAACTCTCGAGTCCAAACCGGTCGGAATGGGGCAGGGACTGAGAGTCGAACCCTAACCTCGGACACGATATGGGCAGCAATCAGCGGTGCGCCAAAGTGAACGATTAAATGAAACGCCGCTGAGCCTTGGAGTGGGGACGAGAGACTGCCTCTCGAATTGAGTTAATCCCCGGCCAGCTGCAACTCATAAAAAAAGTAGACATGAAAGAAACCCTTTTTTCTAGCAGCCCAACAACACAAAACAGAGATTTTTCCAGCCTCTGAAACTGAACTGAAAGGTTGCCTGGCATTGCGCAACTGCTGCCTGGAATTTTTATTGTATCCGCATCTTTATGGGACTTTATTAATTACCCATCGAGGCATTGATTTTCATTTCATGGCATGACCATTTCGAGACAGAGTTGGAGAACCGGTACCGCCTCCGTGTCCATCCTCATAGGCGGCGGCTGTGCGTTTATCGAGAACGACAATGTTTCTACCTAAAAGCCTTTAAATGACAAATCCAAGGCGTTGAATTAATTTGTGTCCATATCTCTGGCAAGTTGGGCAACATGTTCGCCTTAAGTGCGTCGCTTCCTCTTGGAAGCTTCGGACGATAAAGCGTTTAGTTTTCACTGATAGATTGCAGTTTGGCGCTCAGGTTCGGCACAGCTCGACAGCTCGACAGCGCGGAAGCCAAGCTCGGTTTCATTTTCATTATTGATGATCGGCTGTCAAGTAAATGACCAAAATACGCGCCGACCATAAAGATAAGAACTTGGCCAGCCAGCCTGTCAGCCAGCCAGCCAGCCAGCCAGCCAGCCATGGCAGCTGAGAAAATGCAGACCTGCCTGAGCGATAAGAGGCAGAGAGCAGAGACTTTTGGCTGCTGCTTCTTGGCTTTTCGCTGGAAATTAATTTACTTTTGATAAAAGCAGACAACACGTAAAAAGAAGAGCGTAATGAGCTGGCTTTTTATGCGTCCTGGGACCAGACAGTAGGTGTGAATATGTGAGAAATGCCTGCGATAAAGCGTAAAGTTTAAAAATTTAATTAAGTCTCCGCACATGACAAAAAAGTACGCGCGAAGCCAGAACAAAGCAGGCAGGGCTTTAAGGATTCCGCAGCCAGCCAGGTTAAGACTTGGTCTCCTAATTGAATCAACAAAACAGGCAGTGAATGTTGCTTTCTTTTCTTGCTTTTTTGCATGCCTCTGAAGATAAAGTGGAACGCTTTGTTAAGCATTAAGCAGCTGATATGACAACGTCGAGTCGATGAGGTTGCCGAGCTGAGCTTATTAACAAGCCAAGGAGTGGCGGTTTCTCCGATCTGATGTGGCCAAATAGATAAGCGGGACAAGTGGGGGACCTTGTATTTTATTAGTGAAACTCATCGCGTTGATATTTCTGGAGAGAGTAGAAGGATGTGACCACAATGCGGCCGCTGAACTTGCGTCCGCTCAATGCCGTCAGCGACTTCTGGCAGTCCTCGACGGTCTCGAACTGCACAAACACTTTGCCACATCCACGATCAGCGTCTGCATTGCCGTTCGGCCTGGGTATCTTCAAGCTGCGCACTTTTCCGTACTTGGTGCACTCCTGCTTGATGTCGGTGCGTATGTCCTCGTATTCCTCATCGTCCAGCAGCTCCTCGGGCAGCACCATGTTCAGTAAGCAGAGCACTTCCGTGGGAGTACCTGATGTGATGACAGCTGGGAAGCCAGGCACCTGCAGCACAGGCACCTGGCCCGTCTGGCCGTTGCGTCCTCCCGCAATGGAGCGTTGCACGACCAGCTTGCGATCCCCCAACTGCATGCCGTTCAGACCGACTATGGCCTGCTCCGTGATATTTGGGTCCACATACTCGAAGAATCCAAAACCTTTGCTCATGCCCGTGATGCTGTCCTTGACCAAGTTGAAGCCCCGAAGTTGCCCAAACGACAGCAGCAGCTCCTTGATTTGCTGCTCGTTCAGGCAGGTGGGCAGGCCACCGACGTAGATCTTGTGCGGCGAATCCGGCACTACTGTGGATATGCCGTTTGGATCCACCGGCGTGGGAACGGTGGTGGTGGCCACATTTGACACACTAGCCACTGGGTGGTAATCGTGCGGACGACGTATCTTCAGGATTTGACCACGAAACTGAATGCCGTCGAAGCTCATGGCAAGCGTGGCCTCCTCCATGGACCGGAACTCGAGAAACGCAAAGTTCTTTTCCAGATTTGTCTGGCATGTCAGCACAGAGCCGCCATTGCCCTCGTGGCCCAAACCCAGCGCTAAGATCTGTTGGTTAAAGAACGCTATCATCTCCTGCTCGGTGACCCCAAAGGGTATGTTGCCCACGTAAAGGCGACGGGCCTGTCGGGTCACGGTGGCAATGGCTGCCGTATCCGCTGTCGGTGGAGCGTCGGGAACAATGCGAGAAGATATCTGGCCGCTCGCCTGCATAGCCTTGTACTGCAACGGCGTCAGATGATCATAGCCAGGGGGTGCCACATCCCACAAGGTGCGTCCGCAGCGACGTCTCACTCCCAGCTGCGGTCGTTTGTTAAATGAGTAGCAGTGGGACCTCGAGGACGAGCTGATGAAACGATGCGGCGAACAGGAACGGGAGCGGGAGCGTGTACGTGTACGGGCCCTGGAACGGGAGCGCGAACGGGTCCTGTTTTTGTGTGGGGGCCGGAAACGTCTATTATTGCCACGTCGACCCATTTCATTGGGGTTTTTTTTTTTTTCTATATTTACTTCCAAATGTTATCAAGTCATATAAAGTCAACAAAGATTCGCACATAAATTGCGGAAAAAATGTTCCCTCCAAATGACACCTACGGAATCAAACCAAGGCCTACTGTAATGGATGTTAAAATCTTCCAAAACGAAATCTGTAACAAGCTATACAACACCTAATTAGTAGCTTCGACATTTCTTCTTAATATCTACAACAAAACGAATTCACCTTTAAAGCCAAATTTGTAAAATTTGTAAGCAAATCATTTTCCTGTCTGACTCTAAAATTCTTATAATAGCAATGATACAATTATTTAATTTTATTAAAGATTTTACCCCATACATATATGTACATATATTTAATGAAATCTCCAGTATTGTTTTCTGAAGCCTATTTGGAATTAATTTGTAGAGCAATTCACCAACTAGAAAACAAAATACTTGTATGTACATATGTATGTATGTATATCCCCTGCAGGGAAATGTGCACCTCACTCCAGACTTGTGAAAATATTTGCAGGCGATTTTTAGTATTGAATTCGAATGGAAAAAGTTTGATTTTTTCCAGATACAATGCAATATATTTATCTATGAACTATCTATTCAGTAATACAAAAGTTACTTATTTTATCATTCATATATCATATATCACGATATATCTGGTAAGCAGCCCTTCTACATTTCGATCGACTGGGCGAAATATCGATAGCTTTATAAAATTCAAAGCCCTTATGTACTATAAGTTGCAAACACTTTTTTAATTAGAAATGCAATGTTTTTAATCCATATTCATTAAAACCAAATCGATATAAAATGAGAAAGAGAATTTTTTCGAAGTGTAACTTAAATGTTAATTATTATTGTTGTTGAAGCGATTTTGTATCACCTATAATGCATATTGAAAATTAAATTGTGGAAATTGAAATTGTTGAAAACAGCAAACAATACTACTAACCAATAAGTTGAATAATCAATTGGTTTCAATTTTTTCCAGCATTATATGCTGGCAGCTGAAATGGAATTCTCTGTTTTGAATTTGTTATTGAATGTGATGTGTTCGCACAATTATTTATCGCCGTCATCATTTTTTGGAATATTTGTGTATATTGATAAACAGAGCTCTATGCAGAACTTCAATTCAGAATAGGAAATGAAAAAAGTGCAGACAACACGTTTGGGGCTCGTCAGAGACTGGAAGCGCGTTGCCTGAATTTAAATGTTTGAATTAATTGCGTTTGGCAGTTCTGAGCGTCGATAATAAAAGAGTAAAACAAAACAATTTATAATTGTTTTCTGTTCACCGCCGATATACATACACATATTTTATTTCACATTATTGTCTGTCAGTGCTGGGCTCGCATTGAGTTATTGCGACATTGGGATTGGAATTGGGATAAATCTCTTTATCGCTGGGATCGCCAGCGCCTCGAAAACTGTTCATCAAATAATCATTAAACGGTTGCAATCGAAACCATTATCCTGGCCTATCGCTTCATCGCATTAAGCGCAACCGTGGCTGGCTGGCAAGTTGAAGTGGATCCCCCAGGTGTGTGGCTGTGGCGGCGATCGCGCACAGTTGGTGATTAAGATCCCATACCCTTAGACGCCTTCGGGTCCCAGTTCATCCGGCCCGCTGACATTAATTATCACACAGTTTGAGTTTTTCGAATGCACTAGGTACGTGGATATGGGGTCGATATACATAGCTATTTTATTTATGACCAAGTTGTTGAAACGCTACAAAATCGAGGCATGAACGAAGAGGAACTCACTTCTCTCCCTCGCGCTCTCAACCGCTCTCCCGACTGTCAACTGACAGTTTTATTGTGTCGCCTTGAAACATTAATTGACGCACATTTTTTAAGCATCGAGAATTGAGTCGTTTCCATGGAATGTCGCTCGACGCTTTCAGTGCCTGGCCTGCCCGCTGGTTCTGCGTCCAGCTCCTCGAGCGGACCACACAGTGCGCCCTTGCCCCTGCCCTCGCCCTCGCTCTCGCTCTCGCATCCGCCATCGACTTCGACACAATGAGGCCTTCATTTGTCCATCACACACGCTACTCCGGCGAGTGGCAGCATCAAAGCTCCATTTCCTATTCATGCGCCCCGGGCCTGCGTTGCCAATTAATTATAATTGATTAGAGACATTAACAAAAATTATGATTATCATGATTATAAGCTCGAACTGTCTCGGAGCCTGCACCCGCAGACAAATTTTGTATTCACGTAAGCATATTTCTAGCAAACATATTCGATGGCCCATGGCTTAGGCTCGAAGACTTGAAGCATAGTTTCGACTTAATTTCTTGATAAATGACATAATTATGGTTTTCAGCGCGCCAGGCACCAAATTATCGTATTAATAACAATTTATTTACTTTAAACGAGCGAAGAATTTTAATAAATTTAAACACAAATGTATGCGCAAAATATCAGTTAGGGATGCTAAGTATATATTGACGAAACTGCTTTTGGGCCAAAAAAAAAAAAGAAGAATCATCTCTTGTTTATTTAAATGGTGCAGCGTCTTTGAATAAAACGTGTATGCTTAGTATTTCGGAGGTTTTGAAATGACAAGGCAACAGTCTTTTATTTAGTTTTCTGCGACATCTATTGATTTTGTAAATCTTCATTAAATTGAAAGCTGTGCTCCATTTGTTTTGATCATCTGATGGGTTAAAACGGAGTCCGAAATATATGCTCAAATAAATTTAACAAGCTTATGTATTTTTTTTGTCAGACGTATTAACAGTCTTTAGAATACTTTAATCAGATAATCATTTATTTATTTATTGGTTATTAGTTAGTCATTAGTATTAGTCCTCAATTACTTTGCTTTCCTTATACCTATTTATACTTCGAAGGATATTGATGGGTGAATACAAGTTGCGCCTAAGCATATTACTCTTAACCTGATGAACAAATAAATTAAAAATCTGTTAATATGCCGTCACTTATTAGTTAGATTTGAATTTTTTCGTTTTATAGTATTTACCCGCTTTTTGTAATGTCTAATCTAATCTAGATATGTTCGCCTGCTTTTCATTCTGTTCGTCCGTTCGTCTTTCTGTCCGTCTCTCTCCTAGTCCATAGACAACACTAGTTTATTTTTGTTTTCTGGCCACCCTGTTGGTCCATCGTGGCTTTAATCGTTGCGGTTTGCCTGACAATTGATTACAAATGCGAATGCTGTTGAAATTGCAAATATTTTTATATTTTTTCGGTGATGTTCATAAATATTGCGGCCTTTTTATTCTGGCTATTACTATATTTTTCAAATGAAAAATACATTTAGCTGCAGAATGTTTGACCACACACGGACAACAAAATAGCAGGGGATATGGATATGGCTTTGGGACCTGAACGAGTAACTCAACTACATAGATCGGAGGGCAAAGAAGGGGCATAACGTCACCGAGAATTGGACATCGGGAAGGCACATTTGTCGCTAGTTGAATGCGTTGCGGTCATTCATTCCACGAAATTGGGCTTTATTTTTGATGGCCGAAAAAAGTTTTTAATGAACTCATCTGATTGAACGGTTGCTCGATACTATATGGGATGGTTGTTGTTGTTGTTGTAGTTGTAGTTGTTTGGCCCGCCTTTGTATGTCTGTGCGCATTTCAATTGATTTGCGGCCGTAAGCGTGTGAACGTGATTTTATTATCAAATATTTCATGTTGTTAGTTTTAGTAAATTAAATAAATCAGCAGAACAAACAGCACATACGAGTATGTAACTATGGGCACAACTATGGATATTTATATACTGGAATTGTTGATGTTGCTGGCGCTGGCGCTGCCTGTAAAATGTCAACAAGAGTATTTCAATTTATTTTGTGATGAATCAACAACAATTCGGCTGACATTTTGGTCCTTTTCGCACGTTCTGCTTTCGTTTTTGTTGCTCATAAATATCTGGAGTGCATCCGCAACTACTTCAGATTACAGATTTCAGCAAAACAATTTATTTTTATATTTTTATGCAATTTCTCGACAATTTGTCGTTACAATTCTGTATAGTATATGGCCCCCACACCCACTCTCAGCTCTTTTTGATGCGCTTCCCGATTTTCTCTCCTTTTCTCTCCACTCCTGTTTTCTGTTTTTTTGAAGAATTTGCATCATAAATTGTCAGCAATGTCATAAAATATTTTGTCTGTTACTCTTTTTGAGGCGTCCTTGTCGTTGTTTTTGTTGCTCTCGTTGTTCTTGTTGAAGCACGCGCGTTGCAGTTTTGCATTTTGCAGCCTTTGCCTTCATCAATGCCCCGCACGTACCCCCCTCCCCCACCCCCTCCCCCTCACCCATCCCCACCCACTCTCTGTAGAAACGTTCCATTTTTTAGGGATTTTTTTTTTTGTCGCTGTGCAAATTAAAACTAAAGGGATTCTGTTTCGTCAGCCCGACGCGTTCCGTTGAAAGGAATTCTTAATGATATTTCCAGCGCTTCGCCGCGCAGCCGACAAAATTATCTGCTTAGCATCATCGTCTCAGTCCTTTGGCGAGGCAGATCCTTCGGGTCGCCTCTGCCACCCGGCCCCACTTCCCGAAATGCATTCAAATGCTGTTAGCTGTAATCTAATAATATGCACTGATGTCTATGTAGCTGCGAGCTCTTTGCTTTTGACTGCTCCCTGGTATCCGTTTCATATCCCTTGGTGTTAATTTTTGGGTGTACGTCATATTTTTGTAAGCTGCGAAGAATTCAGAAATGCAAACGCGTTTGTTTCTCTACGCAATCTTTTGCCGAGTCCTATTAAATCATCCACCTTCACGGTTCTGGATTCTTCTGGATTAGCGTACCTTTGTCTTTTTTACTTTTACTCTTTTATTTCAAACATAGAGGCAAATATTGCAGGGCAAATGTTCTCTGCATACACTAGAAGAACCCAAAGAGCCACGTTAGTCTGCATTACTTGTCATTCATCTTTTATGCTCTACATCAAGTTAAAACTAAATTACTTATATAGAACAAGTTTCTAAATGCCATTCATACATCAG